CACACAAGCAAACCCACGCACGCAAAGCACACCGATCCTGGGCCCATGCCGTGCCTGGCCCAGGCCTGGTGCCGGTGCATGACCTGGCGCCCCCCCCCCAGGAGCAAGAGCAGCAGGCGCTGCAGCAGCAGTTGCTGCAGCTGCAACAGCAGCAGCAGCAGCTGCTGCAGCAGCAGCAGCAGCTGCTGAGCCGCCACCACCGGCGGCAGAAGCCTTGGGGCGTACGGCCGCAGACGCAGCCGTGGGGCGTGCAGCTGCAGGGCCAGGCTCGCCGCGCCTGCTGCTCCTCCTCCTCCTCGCTCCTCCTCCTCCTCCTCCTCCTCCTCCTCCTCCTCCTCCTCCTCCTCCTCCTCCTCCTCTTGCGTGCAGTGTTGCTGCCCATCCTGCCCCCTCCTCACTCCTCCTCCTCCTCCTCCTCCTCCTCCTCCTCCTCCTCCTCCTCCTCCTCCTTAGCACGATCGCTCCACCTCCTCTGGCTCCTCCTTACATATAATTTCTTCCTGTCGCATCCTGAGGCTGGTCGACAGGGCGATCTGGGCGTTTCGCCTGAGACTTCTGCACTATTTACGATCCTAAAGCTTGAAGTGTGCAGCAGTTTCACGGATGGAGGGCGGGTGGTTTTAAAATGTGGTTCTCTCCGTAGCGCCGCGCACTTGCAAGTTTCACGGATCGAGGGCCGATGGTTTTCAATATGTGGTTCTCGCTTTTGCGCCGCGCACATTCGTGTTTATAGATTTTGGGAAGTTTCACGGATTGAGGGCGGGTCGTTTTCAAGATTTGGTTCTCGCTTTAGCGCCTCGCACACCCGTGATAACAATTGCAAGAGCTTCAAAGATTGAGGGCGGGTCGCTTTCAAACTATGGTTATCGCCTGAGCGCCGAACACATCAGTGTTTACAAATGCAGGAGTTACATGGATTGAGGGCGAGTGGTTTTCAAAATGTGGCTCTCGCCGTAGCGCCGTGCACATCCGTTTTGGAAAAGTAGAAAAGTGTCGCGGATTGAGGGCGGTTCCTTTTCAAAAATTCAAAAAGTGGTTCTTGCTTAGCGCCGCGCGCATTCGTTTTAAGATTCTACAGCAATCTTCATTGTTCACGTCCCAGAGATGGTGCTTTGGCACGATATCGGATTGTCAGGGCGCAACAGTTACGTTGACTCGTTGTGTTGAGGTCCCAGGAATGGTGTTCTGGCACGATTCCGCTCGGGAGGCTGTTCGATGGATGAGCTCTTAGGGGAGGGGGGAGGAGGGAGGAAGCAGGAGGGAGGAGGAGGAGGAGGAGGAGGAGGAGGAGGAGGAGGAGGAGGAGGGAGGAGGAGGAGGAGGAGGAGGGAGGAGGGAGGAGGGAGAGGGAGGAGGGAGGAGGGAGGAGGGCGGGAGGAGGAGGAGGAGGAGGAGGAGGAGAGGGAGGAGGGAGGGAGGGATTGGGTGCTTCTCGCGTCCACCATCCCATGCTGCTCTGAGCTCCTCGGCGCCTGTCGCCACCGAGCCCGAGGAGGCTCTGCCGTTGCTTCCGTCGGCCGCCGCCGACGGGGTTACTCGTGGCCAGCGGCCTTCCCAAGCAAGAACATGAAGGAGGAGGAGGAGGAGGAGGAGGAGGAGGAGGAGGAGCGAGGAGGAGGAGCGCGGAGGAGGAGGACGGAGGAGGAGGAGGAGGAGGAGGAGGAGAGGAGGAGGAGGAGGAGGAGGAGGAGGAGGAGGAAGAGGAGGAGGAGGAGGAGGGAGCAGGAGGAGAAAGAGGAGGAGGAGGAGGAGGAGGAGGAGGAGGAGGAGGAGGAGGAGGAGGAAAGGGCCCCTCTGACCAGTTGTTCCTTGTGGGGAGGGTAACCTTGCATGAGATCGTTTGACGATGTGTTTCCTTTTCGCGCGGGTCACACATTTCAGGCTGAACGGCCCGATGCAGTGAGTGATCGAAGAGGAGGGGAGAAGAGGAGCGGAGGAGGAGGAGAAGGAGAAGGATATGGAAGAAGAGGAGGAATACGAGGATGATGATGATGATGACGACGATGAGGATGATGATGATGATGATGGTGATGATGATGATGTTGATGATAATGTTGGTGATGCTGATGATGTGATGCAGCTGATGCTGATGGTGACGATGCTGATGATGGTGATGATGATGCTGCTGATGCTGATGATGATTACTATGATGATGATGCAGCTGATGCTGATGATAACGATGCTGATGATGGTGATGATGATGCTGCTGACGCTGATGATGATGATGATGATTATGATGATGATGCAGCTGATGCTGATGGTGACGATGCTAATGATGGTGATGATGATGCTGATGATGATGATGATGATGGTGATGATGCTGCTGATGGTGGTGCTTGTGATGAGGACTCGGATGCTGACGGTGATGGTGATGATTATGGTGGTTATGAAGATGGTGTTGCTGGCGACGGTGGTGATGAGGATGATGCTGATGATGCTGATGATGGTGTTGCTGATGATGATGACTACGATTACGAGTACTATGAGCAGTTATCGGGACGATTGTAACATAACACTCGGAAACCGAGAAACGCCGCATCCTTTCGTAGATCTCTTTGTGGTTCAAATGTTTGTTCCCTCTTGAGAGAGGGGGTGAGGTCCAGGCGCCCCTCCTTCAGCAGGACCTTGCCTCGAGGTTTTGGCGTGACCCGTTCATTTCCTTGTCCAGGTTGCACGCCCTCAGACATGGTGGACGCTGATGGTGAGGATGAGGTGCCTGCCGACCTCGCGGCTGTGGAGCCCGTGGCCGCCGCCCGCGGGCTCCCCGTGCAGGTGGGCCGTCTGTATCGCTGCACGGCGTTCGACTCAGAGTCGCGGCCGCAGGGTGAGTACCTCATCCAAGTTGTAGGCGCCTACCCGCCCGACGAGGAGGGCCAGTTCGCACGGGCCGAGCAGATCTGCTGCAGCGACGGCTACTGGGCCTGGTGGATGGCGCATCCCGTGGAGCGTGGAGGAGCAGGCCGACCTCTCTATCACTTCTGTACGGAGGAGATGTGCCTAGCCTCGCCGAGCGCCTCGCGCGGGACACTGATTCACGTCTCGGAGTTTGAGGAGGTCGACGCAGCAGAGGCGTCGGAGTTCTATCTGGAGTGCAAGGCGGTGGACTCTTGGGCTAAGTGGCCAGAGGAGTTCGGGCCCGAGCCTACTGGAGAGGCGGCGGCTCGCGAGTCGACGGAGGACGCCCTGGACGAGTTCGGCATGCCGCTCGACAGTTGCGTGGTTCAGGACACGGCTGCCCCTGCCTCAGGCTCGCGCCCCAGGGCGGCGCCAGCGCGCGTCGGCAGCCGCCAGCCCGCTGCCCTGCAGGCTTCGCCGCTGGCGGGGGCAGGCGCCCGCCTGTCAGCCGTGGCGCCCCCTGCGCGCGAGGCTGGCGACCTTCGCGCTCGGCTCGAACGGCTTCGCGGGGCGCTGCAGCCAGCCCCTGGGGGGAAACAGCCGACGGAGAAGCTGCGCGAGGCGGTGGCTGGAGCAGCCCCTGCGCGCGGCGGAGCAAAGCGGCCGCTGGCGGAGGTCGTGCAGGACAGGGCCGGCAAGAGGCGCGCGCCCGAGGTCCCAGCGGAGGCGGCTGCGAGCGCCGAGAGCGGTGGCGCTGGTGCAGGAGGCGAGGGGCCTCTTCTCCAGTTGTTGCTCGAGGCGGCGGCCAACAGGAGCGGCAATGGTGACGTTTTGCAGTCAGTTCTTAGTGGCGCCAGCGGCAGCAGTGAGGGGGCTGTCCCACGAGGTCTCGCCTCTCGTCGAGGTCATTTTCGCCAGATTGCCGCCAAGTTCCCAGGGCTTCTCTCGGAGCAGGCGCTGGCCAAGATGAGTGAGTACGTCACCACGCAGGTTGGTGAGGAGGAGGGGGAGGAGTTCCCACCCATCTTCCTGAAGTACTTCTTGAATGTCTTCATCCCTCAGAACCCCATCAAGTCGATCGGGATTGGGGTCTACCGCGAGATGAGGACAGTTTGCGAGGCCGCCGATGCCATCCTCTCGGGCAAGACGGCCTACGCCTTGGACGTGCTGAGTCAACGGTTCAAGGCGCTTCAGCTCTTCGCTGTGGAAAAGAGTTGGTCAGGTGCTCGCTGGCTGGAGCTCATCCCGCCCTCGAACGAGCAGCTTGCGCTCAGGGCGGAGGATGAGGAGATCGTGCGCACAGTCGAGCTGGGCGAACTGCGCCTCGAGGAGCTGCTGTCCAAGCTCAAGCGGGGCTAGGGGTCAGGCCGGGAGAGGGAGCCGCCGAGGAGCAACTCCCCTCCTGTAGGCCAGACTGGCGGGAGCCAAGGCAAGGCGGCACACCAGCTGCCTGCGCCTCGGACGCCTGCGGACCTCGTCAAGGATCTACCCCTGCCAGCAGCGCCAGCAGCAGCAGCAGCCCGCCGCCCTGCGCCAGGGCCGCAGCGGACCGTGCAGCTGCGCGAGGACGTCTCGAAGGAGGCGACGCCGAAGGAGGTCTCCTGGAAGGCCATCAAGGACGCCCACCCGAAGAGGCAGGGCGAGACGCGTGGAGCCTACGGCATGCGCCTCAGGAAGCTCATGCAGGAGGCTCGCGGGCGACAGGACCGACCCGCGAAGTAGGCCGCGAGGCAGCGCTGGACACTGACGCGCAGCCTCGCTGGCCCGAACACTTGCAGGCCTGCACTGACTTGACCGCGTGGAGGGCAGCTGTGACTCGAGCTGTACCCGCCACGCCGCACTTACTGGACTTGGGCATCGCCATCGTCACCTTGCAGTGGCAGCACCCAGGCCGCCTTGGAAAGTTTTGCCGTGAGTTTCGTCCACACCTTCCCACGACTGGAGGGCCGCAGGTAAGGACGCGTGACCTGTTGCCGATGGCCCTCCCCGACCTTACGCTCACACGAGCGTGGGTCGCATCTCAGGACGGACCGAGAAGGAAGCGTCAGAGGTTCAGGATTGAGGGGCGCTTAGTCGCCAGAGAAGTTTGGTCATATATAGTGGTGTTGTCTCTCAACTTCGAGTACGTTGGTCGAGGTGGCCCTCGTCTGTGGAGACACTCGCCAATGCTACATCTTGCCCAGCGGTCCGCCTACAAGACCATCATCTCCCACGTTGACGGCTTCTTAGATGACCCGCTGACTCGTCGGCCTGACATCGACTGGTCCCAGAAGATCAGCAAGCTCAGGGTCGACTACACTGGTGAGGAGCAGGGCGAGGCCTTGCCCATCAAGCTGGCGGAGCTCATACCAGGCCTACCCGACAAACAGCATGCCGCGCAGCTCCAGACGGAGGAGTTCGTTGACGAGCACATCTTGGAGTGGCTTATGAACCCTGAAGTTGCCACGCTGCCTGTTGCGGAGTGGCCGCTGGACCCTCCTCGCGCCCGAGTCAATTGCGAGAGGCTCGAGGACTGGCACGAGGTCGCGGAGCACTTGATTGGCCTCGGCATTTTGGGCGTGGTCGACGAGGCGGACATCTTTGCGCCGCGGGGCCAGAAGGTCTTCAACGGCCTGTTCGCTCGCGAGAAGAAGGGCAAGCCACTCGAGGGCCAGTCGAGATGCACGCGCCTCATCTTCAACATGATACCCTCCAACGCCTACCTCCGCAACATCGTTGAGGACACGTCGACTTTGGCGGCCTCCACTTCATGGACCAGCCTCCACTTGCCAGCAGTATGTGTCATGGTGTGGAGCAGCGACGACCAGAAGGGCGCCTTCTATGTGTGGAAGTTGCCGCCAGCCTGGCATGGCAGAATGGCCGTCTCGGTGCCCGTGCCAGCGAGCGCTGCTGGGTTGCATGGAGACCACCTAGTCTACGTGGCGTTCCGCGTCATCCCCATGGGCTGAGTCCTCGCAGTCACCCTCTTCCAGCACCTGCACCGCCGCCTGGCCTTGCGAGCACCGCGTCTGGGAGCTGGTTTGCCTGCAGGAGCGGAGTGGAGGCGCGATCAGCCTTGGCCGCTGGCGAGGCAGCATCTTCACGCGTGGTGGCAGGTCTACATCGATGACTTTGATGCGCCCGAGGTCCTGGAGGCGGCAGAGGCGTATCGAGTCGCGGGCACCCCAGGCGAGATGCAACTCGCCATGCGGCGCCGCGCCTACACCCAGGCAGAGGTCGCCTACGCGGAGGAGAAAAGCCACGCACGGCAGTTGCAGCTCGAGAGGATGGGAGCGTCCATCGACGGCTGCGCGGGTACGATCAGGGCCCCTGCCGACAAGGGGATCGAGCTGGTCCGCTACATTCTGTACGCCCTGGGCCGCGAGTACTGCCCGTGGCTGCTTATGCTCACGTTGCTGGGCCGCGCCGTTCGGGCCCTGGAGTTCAGGCGGCCGCTGCTGAGCTGTCTCAACTCGGTCTGGGAGTTCTCCACCAGGACGAGAGGCGGACGCATCAACATGGGCATGAGCCAGGAGCTGCTTGTGTGCATCGGGTACCTGCCTATCGCGTGCACCGACCTTAGGGCGGCGCTGTCGCCAGTCGCCACCGTCTCGGATGCCTCGGAGGCTGGAGGTGGAGTGTGCGCTTCCACTGGCCTCACGCCCTTGGCAGTCCAGCAGCTCAGGGCCGCCCGCCAGGGAGCTAGGCCGGTGCTGGGGCCAGGCCGCAGCGACCTGCAGCCCGCACGCAGCTCCCCGTCGCTGCCAGGGGGGCGGCCGCGGCCCAGGGTGCTCATCGTGAGCCTCTTCGACGGCATCGCCGCGCTGGCTGTGGCAGTGTCCAGGCTGCCAGTCGACATCATCGGCATGGTGTGCAGCGAGGTTGACAAGCCTGCTAGACGAGTCGTGCGACTCCGATGGCCTGGAACCGCCGATTGGGGCGACATCCGATCGATCTCCGAGAAGGACGTCGTTAAGCTAGCTGACACCTACTACGGCCTGTGCGACGTCTGCGTCTGTGGAGCGGGCAGTCCTTGTCAGGACCTCAGCGCAGTCAATTTGTCGCGGGCGGGCCTGGCTGGCCCCAGTTCGAAGCTCTTCTATGAGATCCCGAGGGTCCACGGTCTCCTTCGTAAGCACTTCAAGGAGAAGCTAGCCACCTTTGTTGAGAATGTTGCCTCGATGAGTCCGCAAGTGAGAGATGCTATCACGAAGGAGCTTGGGGTCCCGCCAGTCAAGCTATGCTCCTCTATATTTGTTCCTGCTCGTCGGCCGCGTTACTACTGGTGCAGCTGGCCCGTGCAGACTCGCGGGGAATTCGCAGTCGAGGTGCCGCGCCAGCCCAGCGGGTCACCCCAGGTCGTGCGCCGAATCAGCGGTTCAGTCGCCCCCCTCCAGTGGGTCGCTGCTGGCTGGACCTGGGGAGGCGGTGCTGCTCCAGTTCCGACGCTTGTGTGCCCGCGGCCTGCCTCGAGTAGACCTGCGACGCCTGCAGGCCTCCGCTCTGCTTCAGACGCTGCAAAAAGGAGGTGGGAGCAGGACTGTTATCGCTATCACTTGGGCTGGTATGAAGAGACCTCCATGCTTCGGAACGATTTGGATGGGAGCCTCCGCACGCCTAACCCCGAGGAGAGAGAGGCCCTGCTGGGATTCGACAAGCATTACACAAGGGTTGCCCACAAGGACCCTGAGGCCCAAGGAGTTGCTGACACGAGGAGCTTTCTCTTGGGCAACTCTTATTCAGTGTATTCGGTCTCCTGGCTCCTCCAGCAGCTGTTTCTGGCTCGAGGACTTCTTGCTCGCGAGCTACCTGCTGAAGCTCTGTTCGCGCGGGGGGCGTGCCCGCTGGCCTGGGGCGAGGTCGGCGCCTACACGAAGGGCGCAGCCGAGTACGACAAGAAGCTGGCCTCAGAGTTCACAGGCGAGTTCTTGGCACTAAGTGATCGCAGTGGGAGCGACATTCGCCTAGACGTGGGCCTGCCTTATCGACCGAAGGCGTGGCCGCGGGCGAGCATCAGCCCCTTCAACTGGAACTGGAGAGTCGTGGTCTCGCTGAGGTGGCAGGGCAGCATCGACCTCCACATCAACGCCCGTGAGCTGCAGGCGGGAGTGGCAGCCCTGCTGTGGAGGACTCGCTCCACCAAGCACCTCAGCGCCAGGTTTGTTCATCTGTTTGACTCGCAGGTAGTGGCAGCGATCACTACGAAGGGGCGGTCGTCCAGCACCAGGCTGCAATGGCTCCTGCGCAAGTGGGCCGCCCTCTGCGCGGCGGGAGGCCTCTACCCCATCATCGGGTACATCACGACCGAGGACAACCCCGCCGACGCGCCCTCCAGACGCCAGTGGAAGGCGGGGGGGCCAGGGCAGCCATTCCGACAGCCCCAGAAGGTCCGCAAGCACTCCTTCAAAAGGCGAGGAAGGCACACTCAGCGAAGCGTGGTACTCGGTTGAAGCTGCTCCGAGTCACCTCCACCACGCTCCACCGCTACAGAGCAGCAGCCAAGCGCGTCCTCGATTTTTGGGATGCCGTAGGCCTCATGCCCTCAGGACCGCTGGACACCGACGAGGGCATCGCCGAGTACATAGAGATGCTCTGGAGCGAAGGCCAGCCTGTTAGCCTTGCCAACTATGCGGTCGCTGCGATAGGCTTCTTCTTCCCCTCAGTCAAACAGAGCTTGGGGTTGTCATGGAGTCTGCTCAAAGCTTGGAGGCGATGCGAACCACCTGTTCGCGCCTTGCCGTTCACGCCAGAGCTCATTCTGGGGATGGCCGCCCTCGCCATCGAGTGCGAAGCTGTGGATATCGGCACCCTCCTAGCATTGGGTTTCGCAGGTCTGCTGCGCACCACGGAGCTGTTCACATTGTCCAAGCAGCAAGTCGCGATTATCAATGACAGAGTGATTGTCCGCTTGCCTGAGACCAAAACAGGGTACCGCAAAGCCACTACCGAGATGGTCGTTGTCGACTGCCCCACCGCCGTAGATCTAGTCAAGCGCTGGTATGCACACGCAGCGCCTCCGGACACGATCAGCACACGGTCGCCAGCGCAGCTTCGCAGTTGCCTGAAGAAGCTGCTGGCATTCTTTCACCTGGAGGATTTCCGCTTCTCCTGGTACTCATGCCGTCGTGGTGGTGCCACGTACGACTTCATGTCGCATCAAAGTGTGGAGACAACGATAATGAGGGGCAGATGGGGTTCAGCGACGACCGCAAAGATTTACATCGAGCAGGCGGTTGCAGACATAGTCCAGGTCACTCCTGCCCCAGATGACCATATGCTGATCCAACACTTTGCGCGTGGTCTCTATCAGTCAGTCGTTGCAAGAGAGAGTCAGAGCAGGCGTGGTACGCTGTGAGAGAGATCTTGAGACACGACACGTGAGTCCTCCCGTGCCAATTTTTGTGAGTCCGTGGAATACCCCCACGCTGTCTAGAGGCTAGCCGCCTGTCCGCTCCGATCTAGCCCTCCTCAGGCCTCGGCGCCCCTCGGGGTCCCCTGGGTCGTGCTTCCTGGACGGGAGTCTTTCGGGTCCTCCTAGGACCTCGACCTTGGGGTATCCTGCAAAGAGACTCCTTGGGTGTCCTCGGGGCTGCCTGGAGGTCTCCTGAGGTCTCGGGGGTAGGTCTCGAGCGGTGAGGGGCCTGGCGCATGCTTCTCCAGCTGGTGGTTGCTAGCGACGCTAGCCACAGACCCCTTGGCGTGGGAAGGTAAAGTGAAAAGGGTTATGAGCAGTTATCGGGACGATTGTAACATAACACTCGGAAACCGAGAAACGCCGCATCCTTTCGTAGATCTCTTTGTGGTTCCCGCCCGCGCCACCCTATAGTAGTGCCTGGCCTACTTCGTGGATGCGAGGCGTTTTTGCCCCCGCGCTGTCTAGAGGCTAGCCGCATGTCCGCTCCGATCTAGCCCTCCTCAGGCCTCGGCGTCCCTCGGGGTCCCCTGGGTCGTGCTTCCTGGACGGGAGTCTTTCGGGTACTCCTAGGGCCTCGACCTTGGGGTATCCTGCAAAGAGACTCCTTGGGTGTCCTCGGGGCTGCCTGGAGGTCTCCTGAGGTCTAGGGGGTAGGTCTCGAGCGGTGAGGGGCCTGGCGCATGCCTCTCCAGCTGGTGGTTGCTAGCGACGCTAGCCACAGACCCCTTGGCGTGGGAAGGTAAAGTGAAAGGGTTATAAGTATAACTAGTGTTGCTATTATTAGTAGTGGTATTGGTATTGTTTGTGTTTTCGTGTTGCTAGCAGTAGTGTCAATAGTCGTAAATTGTTTAGCTGTGGCATTGTTATACTTTACGACTGCAATGTGTTACGATGGTGTTCACAGTTTGATTATGGTGACGGGGATAATGATGATGATGATGACGATGATGATGATGATGATGCAGCTGATGCTGATGGTGACGATGCGCATGATGGTGATGCTGATGCTGATGCTGATGGTGATGATGTTGCTGATGGTGGTGCTGGTGATGAGGATTATGATGCTGACGGTGATGGTGATGATGAGGGTGGTTATGAAGATGATGTTGTTGGCGACGGTGATGATGATGATGATGTTGATGATGCTGATGATGGTGTTGCTGATGATGATGACTACGGTTACGAGTACTACTATTATAACTAGTATTGTTATTATCAGAAGTGGTATTGGTACTGTTTGTGTGCTTCGTGTTGCTAGCAGTCTGTGTTAGTAGTCGTATATTGTTTAGCTGTGGCATTGCTATACTTTGCGACTGTTATGTTTTACGAAGGTGACCGTTTTTATTGACAGTTTGACTATGGTGGTGAGGATGATGCTGAGGATGATGATGATGATGATGATGATGATGCTGATGCTGATGCTGATGCTGATGCTGATGCTGATGATGTTGATGAGGAGGAGGAGGAGGAAAAGGAGGAGCGGGATGCGAATGAGTATGATGATGATGCGGATGGGGCTGGGGAGGAGAAGGAGGAGGAAGATGATGATGATGAGGAGGAGGAGGAGGGTTGAGGAGGAGAACGACGAGTTGTCGTGCTCGAGGGGCACATCCGCTCGCTGCAGGTCGTGCTGGACGACATCACGAGCGCCGAGCCTCCTCCTGCCGCCGCTCCTGGTTTCACTCGGGCCGCGGACCCCGCCATCCTGCCCACTCGCAACAAAAGCTCTCCTGCGCCAAGGCTGGTGCCACCGCTGCCCTCGGCGACTGGCTGGGCCGCGCGCAGCTCACCGACCCGGGCGCCACCATCGAGGGAGAGCCTGTGGCCTCCCAAGCGCGTGCCGCGCATCAGCGGATCGATCCCGCGCGCGTCGGCAGAGAGCCAGCGGGCCCGGGGTGCCCTGCGCGAGCATGGCATGTCGTGGGCACGGCTCCGGTGCCAGGCCGCCAGCAGGATCGTGCAAGAGATCCCCGCTCCCGCCGACAAGCACACGGCCTGGGTCCAGCGCGCAGCGGACCTCGAGCGGGTTCTTCGCGAGCCCGAGCTCCACCATCCCAACATCCGCTCCTGCAGCGAGAAAGACAAGGGTGAGACTTCATGCCAGTGGAAGCCGCTGGTGCTCGTGGAGCCGCAGGCTGGAGAGGCCTCTCAGAAACTGTCTTTCTGCCTCGAGAAGCCCCGCATCCTCGGCATCGACAGGCAGACCATGTACGACGGTATCCTGGCTGGCTACACGACGTCGGCAGATCCCACGTGGAGCTTTTAGCCCCCTTCTTCGGCTGTGGACAGATACCACGGGAGCACGGACTTCCATTCAGCTGGGAGTCTCTTGGGGCCAACCCTGAACTGAAGGATTTTGCCTACTTCGCCAATTTGGCCTTCTCCCACGCCTCCTCGTTCTGTCCGAACTCCCGCGCTGGTGGCGTCGTCACCCTCTTCCCGAACTTCGACAAGCTTACACTTTAACCCAAACGAGTTCAACGAAACGTCTTCGTTCCTGGAAGAGTCCTGGGGTTATTTTCGCAGCTTCCGGAGGATATTTGGGTACACCACTTTAAAGTTCACTTTCGCGGGCTGTCTGTGGGAGAGCGACGTAACGTCGCCGATGCGGTTCGTTGTCGTTTCGCTGCTGCCTCCTCCTCTCCCACCTCGCGCCTGGTGGTTGTGGCTGGTGATCGGAACCTAGCGGGCCAGGCCCCTAGGTTGCTGGGACAGACCCTTCGGTAAACCCCCTGGAGAGCCCCAAAGGATCAGACTCTGAACCCCGTCTTTTCATCTATGGCCGAAATCGAGACCCCCGACCCGACTCATTACAGCAAGGCCCTGGGGACCCTGAGCGCCATCGGTTGAATCTTCCCGAGCTTCCCTGGATGGGTCTGCAACCAGCACTTCGTTTGCGGCCGCGTGAGTAAGTACCCCGAGGTCCCCCACTCGAAGGGCCTCTCAGACCGCGCGCAGCTCGCGGTCAGCATCGCTGGTAGTCCTCCGATCCCGTCCGGTGAAAGACCGATCCCGAAAAGCGTCTTCCGACAACACAGATACAGCCAGTTTCTGGAAAGAGTTGGGGCTTTGGGCGACACCTTGGACATTCCCCTTCCCGCTTGTCCTCTAGTACCAGACGATGATCAAGGCAGCGAGTGCAACCAGGAACGCCTTGATTGAGAAGCGCCCCGAGTCGCTAGACACCAAGTTTTTGATAGTCGAGAGCTTATGCAGAGCGGCTTGGAGACAGGATGTTGTTGTAGCACAGCGGCTCATAGCTTCACATGTCTTGGCTCGGCACTACCTGGACATCGACGCCCTGGCGGGCGCGGTCCACCTCTTGCACGTCTTTGAATTCTTGCGAGGCTCGCCAGAGCTCCACCGGCGCGTTGCCGAGCGCGAACAGGCCGAGATCAGGGCCAGCCTGTCCCGGGGGCCCTCAGCCAGCTACGCAGGGAACTCGAGCGTCGCTTGCGCGCTGCTGTGCAGCGCAGTAGGTTTGGGAGCCCACTCTGCAAGAGGCTCACCCTCGGCGGCGCTCGCACGGCAGATGGGGTCTGCGCGGAGCCAGGCAACATGCAGATCTTCTCCCAGCACTGGTCCTCCGTCTTCCAGACGACGCAGACTGATTCCGCGGGCGCCCAGAGGTGCCTCGAGAAGTTCGGCGCGCCCCCAGACCTCCTGGACCTGCCCCCGCCGACCCTGATTACAATGAAGAGATACATCCAGGGGCTTGACCATTCCGCTCCTTCCCACGCGGGCCCTCTTTTGCAGCGCGGCAATGGCGCCCAGACGGACGCCTCATTCTCGACGGGGTGCTCTGGTGGATCCTCAACGGAAACCTCCCAATGTCCCTTTCAATGACCTCCGCAAGGCGTTCACCCCCAAGGGCCTCGAAGCCTCCGGCGACGAAGAGACCCATGGAGACCCCTCGCAAACTCGCCCCCAGGCTTGAAAGCGCAATGAACTAACATCCTGACAGGTCTGGCGCGCTGTGAGCTTACCAGGCGCTGGGGGATCTCATCGTTCCCATGCGGCGCGGCTTCGTCGGGCGCCGCAACTTTGGAACGACCGCATTAGGGTTGGCCACGCGCGCCGGGGTCTCCGGCATTCACGGCAGACTCGAATGTGGCCATTCATCGCGAGCCCGTTCTTGTCAGTTCAAGCCGTGGCCAGGCTTTCCCGTCGATCGCGCGCGAATGGCTTCTGACGTGCCTGCGACGCTCGCGTGCCCCATCACCACTTCTTCACTTCCTGACGTACCTCTGCGGGCTCGTGAGATGCTTCATGTTCGTCGGCGGCGAACTCTGCGCCGCTTTCCTGATCGGGAGCGGCAGCATCCAAGGGCGCCCTTCTTCAGGGAGGTTGTTCCCCGCCGACGTCGACGGCGCCCCAGCCCCCACCTCGCGGGGCGCCGCTCGCGCCCGCACTGACGACGTCGGAGCTGCGCTTCGCGCCCTTGAGACACCCCACCCACCGAAGAGGCCGTTCGACCTGAGCGGGCGCCTTGCAGGCCTCGCGCCTGAAGCTTCGAGGCGCTGCGCCACCCCTCTCGGCGGACTGTTCTCCAGGGGGCCAGCTGATGCCATCGAACAGTGGGTGCCAGAGCAGCTCCGGACTGGGCGGCGTTCCAGGCGGTTCGATGTTTGATGCACCTCGGCTTGGCCCTCGGCCCTGGCCACGAAAATGAAAACGCGGCCGCCCCTATTCGCGAGCGGTTTGAAAGAGGCTTCGCAGCGCTCGCGCCAGGCCACCTGCAGTCGTCACCCGGCACCTTTACAATGAGCGCGCTGCGCCGCCGCGCCCGCGCTCAGATATGCCGCGCAGTTATGACCTTTTTCGTTCGTCGGACC